TGACGTAAGGACGGGGTAAGGAGGGGACGCTAGACCGTCCAAATTCACAGCCTCTTTTTTTCCGGTCTTCCCGGTCTACCAAGGACCAGGCCCGCCGCGACCGGGTAGTCTGGGTCCTCCGGAGGACTCGGCCTGTCGTTTTGGACACAGCCACTGAATCCAAATCAAAAATCCAAGATGGCCGCCATAGCTAAAAGAAGCAATTTACTATAACTGACCTGCGTCTAGACATACTGAGCTGTAATTTGGTGTGGTGGTTGCCAAGAAAAAATCTCCAAAACTCTGTTGAAAATAATCCCGCACCAAGAGGCAAGCCCTTCATTGTCTCTGTAGGAACTATTCTAGTAATACTGTTCTTGTCATGAGCCAGAGAAAACAGAATATATGTTGGCAACATCTTGTACAAAAAATGTATTTTAGAGAACCTTAATCGACTAAATCAATATCAAAATCTGTGATGAAGAGAAGAAAGAAAAAGTGGAAGAGGAAAAGTGAGCAGAGATGTACCTTGGCAAGGCTCCGAGGACAATTAGATTGGCCTTCTGCTTGTTGTTTCCAATGACAGCATTCTTCATGTCACTATGAAGTCAAACACACAAAGACATGACTTTTTGTTTGTTAAAATATACAAGAAACCTTACTGAGGTAGTATGAGGTTCAGTGCAGGTTTAGTCTCACAAAACTAATTTACTTTGTACCTGGATCTGTTACTGTGGTAACTTATGCTGTAAACCTAACTTGCTCTGGATAAGGTTAGGTTTTTGAATTAGGTAACGTCAATGATCTGCCTCTTAACCAATCAGTAAGTATATTATACAGCAGTGATTCTAACATTGGTCCTCGGAGGCCACTATACTGCATATTTTAGATGTCCAAGGACCAGGATTGAGGAATACTGTAATAGTAATAGTAACAAAACTAATTTGTGTTATCCCATCAGAAATCCTGGGTTAACTTAATGAGTGATAAGTGAGCAGCTTTGTAGCATTGTAAGGGGTTAGTCCAGCCAGATCTAATAGTTCTAACAAAACCCCAAGCAAGTTGAACCTGCTTCATAATATCAGGCATAGTTTTAATAGAACAGGGGGTTTTGTTAGGTTGAGGTATCATCTACTCTTGTTCTGCACTCCAAGAACCTGCTAATATATATTTGTCATATTTGAAACAAATCCTACTATTTTCTAATACATTTAAACTTGAAATATTCACTCCAGGTACTCTTCCACTCTGGAGTTGCTCATGCTGAGAGGCGCCGAGCAGGAGTGGGCATACTTATTGTCCCCCCATCTTGGTGCCTGTAGGTTGGGGTTCACCCCAGTGAATGAGAGGGTAGCCTCCCTCGGCCTACGAGTGGGGGGACGGGTCCTGACTGTTGTCTGTGCCTATGCGCCTAACAGCAGTTCAGATTACCCACCCTTTTTGGAGTCCTTGGAGGGGTTGCTGGAGAGCGCTCCTTAGTGGGACTCTCTCGTTCTGCTGGGGGACTTCAATGCTCACATGGGTAATGACAGTGAGACCTGGAGAGGCGTGGTTGGGAGGAACCCAACAGGTGTCTCTGCACCACAGACAGGTGTCTCTGCTGCACCACAGACAGGTGTCTCTACACCACAGACAGGTGTCTCTACACCACAGACAGGTGTCTCTGCACCACAGACAGGTGTCTCTGCACCACAGACAGGTGTCTCTGCACCACAGACAGGTGTCTCTACACCACAGACAGGTGTCTCTGCACCACAGACAGGTGTTTCACGAAGCCAGAATTAAATTCATCACTGACGCGACACATTTAACAAGTTTTCTCAACTACAGCCACAGCTTGGGTTGGGGCCTCGTCCTCAGTAATGAGGGCATTGCTTCGGTCAGTCGTGGTGAAGGAAGAACTGAGTCGAAAGGCAAAGCTCTTGATTTACGGTCTGTCTTCATTCCAACCCTTGGTCATGAGGCATGGATCATGACCCAATCTGCATTATGACCTGTTGCCTCCGTGACCCGACTACGGATAAGCAGAAGAAGATTGAGATGGAGACCTATTAGCATAATCTTTGTAATTTAGATTATTCTGTTGACCATCCTGTGTCCAGTATAAAAAAATGCTTTCCCMCAAAACTAAAACACTTCTTTTCTTTCACCAATTGAAAACATTATTCTTGTGCCAAAGCAGCCCACTATTTCTCTCATTTAAATTACAGTCCTGAAAACTTAAAGCTGTCTTTTTTTTTCTTCTTCTTCTAAAGTTCACTTCAACAGTTTGTGTCCGTCTTGTTTTGTACAAGAAATGTCAGATTTCTTTCACATCCAAGCTGATCATAACAATTTCACAGAACTTTGAACAAGGCCTAAAACATTCAGGAATACTAAGCAAAAAAAATAAATAAATAAACATTGTGAACATTATAGACCTGTCAGAGTCCAGTCCTGAATCTGAATCTGAATTTTGGTAGCATTATTAGTAATATTATTGACGAAGAAACCTTTCAAACTCAAAAACCTGGAAATTGTCTCAAATGAAGAATGACCCAAAACCCAACAGATACAGAAAACATGTCAGTAATTGTAAGAGGTTTTTGATTATTATTTACACAAAAAAATCCTGTAACATCTACAAATTTCAAAAGAAGGAAAGAGTTGTACTAGACATTTATATATTTTTCAGTAAGCATAATTCCCATGTGTTATTCGTGTATTTATAAATTAAGCTCAGCTAGGCTTACATGACTCCCTGCAGAACTTTCTGTGGGTCCGGGTCGAACAGTCTGTCAACATAATGGCGACTGGTGGCAGTGACTTCCTGTAGGACAAACGAAACAAAAACATAAATTTCATACAAGTCACAAATACACATTTACACTTCTACAAATCTGGAAYGAGTACCTGTATGTCGTTAAAAATGATTCCTGATTTTTTTGCATCTTTTCGCATCAATGTGCTCATCAAGCTCAATGTCATTACCATTTTCAGGGTGTGGCAAATGGATCAAAGTGCCAATCATAACCATTTGAGGTCCTGATCGATACTGGCTTTATTGATGTATCCTTTTTATTTTAATCAACAAGCGCTGCAAGCATGGCGCTGCAGTATATAGCAGTTTGGCACATACACTACCTGGCCAAAAAAAGTTTCCACCTGAATTTAACTAAGTGCTATGATCTGGGGATGCTGCAGTTGGTCAAGTCTAGGTTCAGTAACAGTATGTGTTCAAAGACTGAGGTCAGCTGACTACCTGAACATACTGAACGACCAGGTTATTCCATCAATGGAYCTTTGTCTTCCCTGAAGGCATGGGAATATTCCAAGATGTCAATGCCAGGGTCCATCTGCTCGAATTGTGAAAGAGTGGTTCAGGGAGTATGAGACATCACTTTCACATGTGGATTGACCACCGTAGTCCAGACCTTAACCCCAATGAGAAACTTTGGGATGTGCTGGAGAAGGCTTTGTGCAGTGGTCAGACTCTACTACCCTCAATGCAACATATTGGTGAAAAATTAAGGCAACGCTGGATGAAAATACATCTTTGACATTGCAGAAGCTTATCAAAACAATGCCACAGCGAATGCAYGCTGTAATCAAAGCTAAAGGTGGTCCAACAAAATATTAGTGCAACAGTTTTTTTGGTGGCAACGTTGGTTTTTCTTTTGGCCAGGCAGTGCACAAGTGGTTTGTGATCTGCTATAACAGTGAATGATTTTTCATACAGCTAAGTGCGGATGTATGTAAATATTTTCATCCCATAAAACAGCAGCAAGCATTTCTTGTTGTTTTGTTGTATATTGATTGTCAGTCTGCTAGTGTTTCAGATCTGACAGCAATGGGTCGAGTTAATAAAGTTAAAGTAACCAGTCCTTTATGTGATGCGTCAACCTCTAAGGGTCAGGAAGAGTCTAGGTGATAATATTTAAAACATGTATCCCAGGGTTTGACAAGTTAATTTTTTAACCTACCCTGTCAGGCAAGTGACACCAAATCTTACCTGCCCGAAACAAAAACTTTCAAAACTTAACAAGATAAAATAAAAACATGTACTGGTTGCACAGCCATAACAAATGACATCTGATTAAGCAGATGCAAACATTGCAGATATTTAATGAGAAAACAATAGTTTTTCTTCCTCTGACTCCAGTGACTACAGCTGTTGTTGTTTATGTGTTTGGTGATGCAGGGCTGTACGTTACATTTTTTAGCTTATTGCACTGGTAGACAGAGGTTGGTTTTGTAGCACAGAACAAAAGCTTATAGCACCAGCATAAAAAGTCTGTTACAATCTCTAAAAACCACAAGTATACAGAAGGGCATATTATTTACCAGGGATGCACGATAAATCAGTATTGATATCGGTTTCGGCCGATATTGGTCATTTTTTAGAATATCGGTACCGGTCCGATATGTAAAACGGAGCTGATATTAATGTCTGATATTGATTTCCCACTTTCTAGCTTTGTGTTTCTGTTTTGGGAGGTGAGACGGTTGGTTAAGTGTCGTCTGTTTGATCATGATAGTGATGTTGATACTGTAGCCAGGAATAACTGAAGTAGAGYCATGTCAGAGGTCTGGTTGTTTATTTACAGTATCAAAAAAAGACCCAAGTGTGTTTTTGCGTATATGTATATAATAATTTGTATGTTTGTGTAATATCGGTAAATATCAGTTATCGGCAATAACACCAATAATTATATCGGATATCGATATCGGCTGAAATTTTCATATCGGTGCAACCCTATTATTTACTTAAATTGTAAATGGACTGTACTTACGCTCACCGGCCACTTTATTAGGTACACCACGCTAGTAACGGTTTTGTGGTCATAAAGGGATGGACATGGTCAGCAACAATACTCAGGTAGGCTGTGGCGTTGCAACGATGCTCAATTGGTACCAAGGGGCCCAAAGACTGCCAAGAAAAGATCCCCCCCACCCCACCCCGCGGGTACAACTCGCGAGGGGGGGGTGGGCAGCTGCGGACATGAAAGCGCCTGCTGCGAAGCAGGAGGAAAGGAGAGGGGGAAAAGTAACTTATAGCGGCAGAACAGGTTGGAAG